CCGCACGCATGGAGCTGTCGCCTCCATTTTTCCCAGATGGATCGTAGTCGTCGACCTTTTTGAGTTCCTTCTCACCCAGTGGGCGGTTGTACAAAAAGACGTTCTTTACTGTCACACTGCCGTCTTTGCCGCCGCCAAAGTAAAAGTGTGACACTTCGTAATTCCTTTTTTGAAGCGTTGGTAGTGTGTCCGATTTCCCCACGAGCACGCCGTCCACGTACACAGAGCCCTTGTTGTCCTGCAGCATGAGCGCCACTTTGTACTCCTTCCCCGGCTCCCAAGTGCCGCTGTTTGTTGTTGTCATGCCGTTGAAGACTGTCCCCCACCGTTTCTCCGTCGTTAACGACAGCCCCACAAACGTCGTATCATCCCTGTCCTCCAGGGCCGCGCCCAGCAGTGTAGCGCTCTCTTTCGGAACTTCATCGATCGTCACCGTCGCCACAAGCGTAAACGCGTAGTTCACAAAGTCGTACAACTTATCATCGACCCACATGTTCACCGGCCATATGGCGTGTGATTCGGGCCCCGTGAACTTAAAGCCATCTTCGACCTTCTTTGCATTCGTCACAGTTGCACTCAAGCAACGGTACGCGTCGTCCCAAGTTTCATTACTCGATGTACCCGACAAGAACCCAACCAGGCCGGCCGTGGGCACAGACGACTTGGAGAAGAAGGAGTCCAGTTTTGCCCAAGTCTCCAAGACGGACGTGATCGTCTTCAGCTCCTCCGTTAGGGAAGCAATAAACACGCTGCTTTCCATGTCGTTACCCTTCTCTTGTAAAAAGTATAACGCATCTTTCGAGTGCAGCAGGGTGTTGCCAGGCGTCCGCTTCTCTGTGGTCTCCATGGAAATGGGCTCGAGGTGAAGCGTGCGGTTGTTGTCAGTGACCCAAAGGTGGAGCACGGTGGCTTGCACCGTGTCTCCAGGGGGAATCCCTTGCTGAGCGTACAGCATGACCTTCCTTCCAGCAATGGTCGCAGTGGTGAGGGATGTCACATGCTGATGCCTTTGCGAAGGGTGTGAGTGAAAATTCTCCTGCACGCGTGCGAGTGTCCTGACAGCCTCCGTCCACGTTTCCCCCATGTCCCTCGACTCAAACACCTTGCGAGCATACCCACAGTGGGCAATCACGAGAAGTTGCCCCTTCTCCCACTCAACGATGAGGAACCCAGTGCAGTGTGCAGGGAGCATCCCCTTTGGAAGCACCCAATTTTTGCCGCCGTCCTTCGAATATATAATCATGGAAAAAAATTCGTGATCTTCCCTCCTCGCCGTCACAGGAAACACAAGCTTGCCATCCTCCATCACAACGCCTGAGCCACCAGCACCGAGGAAGTCCTTCAGGCGACGTGGTGTAGCAGATGGTATGATCTGTGATAACAGCGAGGTGGGTCTGCCCCATTTGACCATTTCCCCTTGACTGCCGCCCTTGGGCTGCGTGGCTTCACCCTCCACCAACTGAAGATCCCAATTGCCCGTTTCCCATTCATTCTCAGCTTCTTTGAAGATCTTCTCGTAGCTTCCCACAAGGAGAAACACCTTGTTGTCCTTTGTAACTGTTGTGGGAAGGGACGCAATGCCCACATGATTCACCTTGTTGGGTAGGCTGAAGATGCTGTGCGCCTTCCAAGTGTTTCCACTGACCTCAGCGACAAGAGACGACCAGCTCTCCGCAGCGTTGATGTACCCTGCCACAATATCGGAAAAAGTAAGCCTATTCGGCCCCGGATGGAGGCTGTTTGTATAGTTGATGTGGCCCTCGGCAAAAGCAATCAAGACTCCACCAACACTGGCGAGAGAAGGTACATCAAAAAAATCCTTCGTTCGACGCCCACCGTCTGATTCTATTTGCGTCTTACTCGGCACAAAAAGATCGACGGACTGTAGCCGCTTAACTTCCTTTGCTTTATTCCCCTCAGCGTTGGCAGCTTTACTGCTGAAAGATATCAGCGGCACGCAGAGGAGCAGCAGCACCGAAAAAGAAAACAGGTGCCGGTACATGTTGGGCATGTGTTGCTGCTCACTCTCTCGTTTTCCTCCTTGTGGGGTGATCCGCTCGGGCCGCAACGGTTGTGTGTGTGTGTTGCTACTGGTGGGGAGTGCGGAGCCCTCAAAGCACACAGCAGCGAGTAGCGTTTAATATCTCTACTCTGCGTGTGCGTGTGCGTGTGTGGGGAGGGGGTGGGGAGAAAAAACGACAGAAAAAACAACAAGCGACAATACAAAAAGCATTGGGGACGCGCAGTCGCCCAGCAGCAAGACGCACGCCACAAACATCTGCGTCCTTCACGCAGGAAAAATAAAACGCAAAAAAGGGAGAGACACAAGTGCCCAGCCACCTCGGCGTGGTGCCAGGGTTTCAGTACCTCGCAAAGGGGGAAGCCAGTGGTCAGCCGTTGGTGTCTTTGACTTGTTGTTGGTTTGCGGTAACGGCGGCGAG